AAGATATATTTTGTAGTAATAAATTGGCAAGGTCTAAATATTTAACATAGATAAGGTACAGTAAATATTCTTGGTGGTAGTGCAGATAACATTCAGTAATAATATTTCAGAAATGAGTGTTCAAACAGCTGACGCACTAAATTATATGAAATCACAATGAATTTACCAGAAACAATTTTAAAGCATTCATTCTGAGTACGATCAAAGAGTTCGAAGATGCCTCTGAATCTAAGTTTTTAACTTTATCTGTAAACACGAAAGAGATCAGATTCTACTGTATAGTTAATACCTAGAGGAACTCATAAGAGACACAGTCACTTCTCTACTTGGCCCCATAACATATCAACTGAAAGATTATTTGAATCTTTTTCTCCTTTGAAATTAACAACCCTTTGTCAAAAGAATTGAGCTTTTCTAAATATAATCTTTATTAATTCGCTTCTAGTTACAGTCGATAAAAAAGTCACAATTATTTAGAAAATGTATATAAATACCGATGAAGCAGTTTTGTCAAAATCTAAATATTCTAAAAAGACATATATAAGATTTTACAGGTATCAAAATGTTATCTGTTTACAAGTCTACATTATCAGCATATTTGACTGTTGCGCCATCAGTGGCCATTTTAACAACTTTGGATTTGCTGTTTTAATTTTAAAATAGATGATTTTTATCAATCTCTTGCTGTTGAGCTTCGTCTGTCTCGCGATGAACGTCACTCTGTGTAACATGTTTAGTGAGGAAGAGAGAGACAGAGACAGAGAGAGAGAGAGAGATAGAGAGAGAGAGAGAGAGAGAGAGAGAGAGAGAGAGAGAGAGAGAGAGAGAGAGAGAGAGAGAGAGAGAGAGAGAGAGAGAGAGAGAGAGAGAGAGAGAGAGAGAGAGAGAGAGTGAGAGAGAGAGTGAGAGAGAGAGTGAGAGAGGGGAAAAGGGGAGAAAGAGACAAAAATAGACAAGGGAAAGGAGGGAAGGAGAGAGGAGATAGAAATACACAGAGACAGACAGACCTGGGCCCCACCGGTTACCCCTTCTAGTTTCCTATCAGTTATTTTTCTGTTTTAACATTTTCAAATTGACCTTCCCCCTCCCCCCCCCCTGGTCGATCGAGACGGATGGCCTATGATAGTTCAAGCCTGTTGCCATGGTAGCTTAGGATAGGTGCCAGGGTAGCTCAAGTCTAGTGCCATGGTACCGCAAGACACGTGTCATGGTAGTCCGAGGCAGGTGCCATGGTAGCTCAAGTCTAGTGCCATGGTAGTCCCAGACAAATGTCATGGTAGCTCAAGTCTAGTACCATGGTAGTCCAAAACCGGTGCCGCAGAGGCTCAAGATTCGATACGTGATGGATATGAATGTAAACATACGGACACGAGTGGATACGTGTTGACACAGGGAACACAAGTGAACATGGTGGGGGACACCGACGAATATGGATGAAAGGTAAGGATTCATGGGGGGGGGGGTTGGTGGGAAGAGGATGGGGAGGATTAGGTGAGTGGTGTGCGATGATGGGTGGTGTGGTGTGGGGATGATGGGGGAAGATAGTGTGGGGGGATGAATACATGAGGCAAATAACCGGTTGTAAGGGCTAGAGGTTGGAGAGAGAGAATGGGGTAGGGGGTCCAGGAAAGACCACATTGATCCCATATAAAGGCAAATATGAGCAGATGTCTCCAGGAGTCAGTGTGACAATATCAGTTAAAGCTTTCAATCACATCGGGTTCAGACTACAAGAACAACACTACAGTATAAGACAAGGAAACACGCGGAGAGTACAGTTGCTACCTGTACACTTCCTGATTACTGGTGGTCTGACGCTCTGGACGAGGAATTCCTATTATATTTGTGACACGTTAGATTCTAGTACAGTTATACTTGTCTAGGCAGGTTTTGAGTTTATTATGTTATTTTTACGTTAGAGTAAATGAGTTATTGTGGTGTAAATCCAGAACCAGATTTACAAACGTTAAGTTTCTTCAAGTTAGATTCCACATTTGTTGAAAGGTTAAGGCTAGGTTAGGCCCGGTTAGATCAAGGCAATTTTAAGCTCTTCATAAACTATTGAACACGGAATTTACACGGCCAGGACCAGAACGAGCCAGACTTCTCCACAATACCGATTAACATACATACCTACAAACTACTTTGATTTTGCTATAAAAAGGGATCCACATACACAAAATATCACAATATTTACAACACTCGTATGTCACCATCGGACAAACAACTTTGCGAGCACTATTCAACACCTTGAGAAATGTGGCTTGGGAGGAAGCCTTCCTTGTGGTATGGTGTTACTTCCAGTGAAATTAAGAAATATATCTGGAAAATAATAATAATTCCTGAGGAAAACCATTAAATAAAAGCATGGCATATCGTCCTTGAAAGTTCAGTTCTCTTGAAGTGATATTTCTGAGCGCTTATCACAGCTGAGGGTGACGTGGCCTTTCTGACATCAACATCACAGCTCAGGGTGGCATGACCTTTACAACATCACATCACAGCTCAGGGTGACGACCTTTCTAACACTACATCACAGCTCAGGGTGACATGACTTTTCTAACACCACATCACAGATGAAGGTTTCCTCAGTGTATCATAGCGTGGTCTCTAACAAGACCAGGATTATCACGCCAAAGTGTCATAACATAGCAGTTGTGTCATAATGTAGCAGCTGTGTTATAACGTAGCAGCTGTGTCATAACATATGTGTCATAAGATAGCAGCTATATCATACCATAATATCTGAATCATATCCTAGCAGCTGTATCATAACCAAGCAGCTGTGTCATACCCTACCATCTGCATCATAACCTAGCAGCTGTGTCATACCCGTGGAGCTGTATCATACCTTACCATCTGTATCATAACCCCAAGCAATTGTATCATAACCCCAAGCAGTTGTATCATAACCTAACAGCTGTCCCATTGCCTTGCAAATGTGTAATAACCTAGCAACTGAGTCATAACTGAGTCATAACTGAGTCCTGGCAACGGTAAAGCAACGGCAAACAGCAATGTTTGATGCATATCAGCGAAGAAGGGCCAGAGAGCGTGGCACACGCACTGTGATGATAACTGTATTAAAGACAGTGAGTTAACTGTTGTCGAATTACTTCCCCCTTCTGTACTGATCAGAGGACCAAAAGGGCAGCTGTCACGAGAAAGCAATTAGCCTAGCACAGCATTGATAAGATCTTTGTAAGTGCGTGGTAGAGAGTGAGAGTAGCACTGTGTCCGCCGGGATCAGTGTCACGTACTCATGGCCCTATGTGGGAGCGGCACTTTGGCCGCTGGTGTGGTTCGTGTCTTAATGTAGTATGGCATGAGAAGTGGAGAGGTAAACAGTGTGTGTGTGTGTGTGTGTGTATGTGTGTGTGTGTGTGTGTGTGTGTGTGTGTGTGTGTGTGTGTTTATTTCTTCACTGTTAGCAACTGAAAAGTTAGTAACCAAAATCCAAAGTTAGTTTGTAACCAAAAGCAAACTAAGAAATTACTTTGCTTAGGATGCTAACCAAAGTAAACTAATATATAAGATCATTTGCAATGAATTCAAATTTGATAGCGATAATTACATTACTCATCCTAGACTTGAAAATTAATTCAAATTGTTTACGATTGAAATCAAAAGAATGCAAAGACAATTATACAAAATCATAAATCAAATCTCAGATATAAACTTTATAAAAAATAATGATTCTCACTGAAGATTTGATCACATTAAAGGAGCTTGAATTCCACGAGTCACCACACTGAATTAAGCTTGATTGAAATCTGAGCTGAATGCTGGAGTCTCCGTATTGAAGGGAAAGACGGAGGTCCGCGTGACGTCCGAGGGCGAGGCCTGAGGGTCCCCAGCTCTCCCCGGCAACACCTCCGGCTCGACGGTGAAGGGCGGGGAGATGATCAGCAGCCAGACGATGATGCCCACCATCACCGTGAAGGTGAAGACCGTAGCGTAGCAGGTGATGAAACGCATGGGTCCGGTGAGCTTCCCTTCTCCTAATCTAAGTACCACAGTTTCCTTCTTCGACGTCGCGGCCCCTTCGCCTTCCTCATCCTCTTCTTCTCCTCTTCTCGTCCTGTCTTCTCCGTCAGCGTCGTCGCCGCAGGAGGAGCGCCCGGCCTCTACGTCCAGGTCCACGGAGCCCACCAACACCGCTGTTTTTATCTCAGCATCCATCTGCGAAGGAGAGAGCGAATCACAGAAACAGTTTTGGGGTTGATTGTTGCACATATTTATATTTGAGCGAGATGTAATTAAAACAAGAATATACATTCAACAAACTTGGAAAATTTGCAGCAAAAAAGGACGTTTTTGGAACGGGACGCAGTGCCTCTGATGGAATGGAAACCATCATAAGGGATGGAGTTAACTAATTATAAAACTTAACATTAATTTTAAAGGACAAAGTTAAATAGCAAAACAACCCTAAACCAATTATGAAAGAGAGTTAACATAATTAAATCAAAAGCCAATTAAAAAGGTAGAGATAAATTATGATAATACCTAGAACCAATTACAGATATTAAAAATTTCCGATACAACATTAAACCAATTATATTGAAAAGAGTTCAATGATAAAGCCTCCAACCAATCATAAGAGATACAGTTAACTGTTCATGAACGAGGAGAGTTAACAATTAGAAACGTCTGTAGGTGATAAGTTACTACAACTTATCCTTTATACAAAGAGTTGTTACTTCAACAACTCTTCTCACATTTCAAAGAATCTTTGACAGTACGAATTGACACATCTCAAACACAAAAGTTATCTTTAAGAGATTCATAAACACGAGCCAGTATCAACGACACAAAATGAAACTTTGAGGACAATTGTCATTTACTGGGTATGAAAAGAAATGTAAATTTATTAAAAAGTTAATAAAACACTATTAACAGCTTCACTGGAGGCACAAACATAGGGAATATTCCGGTATTTACATTAAGATAATTTGAATTATAACGACTAAATGCAGTAAAAATTATTGTTATTAAGCATGAGTAAAAAAACATAAATAAACCTATAATCTATTGACCTTCGCTAATTATTAAAAAAAATCAAACATCTGCAGATATTTTACGTTTTTATAAGAGTTAAAACACGTGTTAAATCTTTAAAATATAAAGAATATAGATGAAACAAAAGATGAGTTTTGAATAGAAAATTTGTTCAAATATCAGGTACTAAAGTTAATCAAATATCAGATACTAAAGTTAAACAAATATCAGATACTAAAGTTAAACAAATATCAGATACTAAACTTAAACAAATATCAGATACTAAAGTTAAACAAATATCAGATACTAAAGTTAATCAAATATCAGATACTAAAGTTAAACAAATATCAGATACTAAACTTAAACAAATATCAGATACTAAAGTTAAACAAATATCAGATACTAAAGTTAATGAAATATAAGATACTAAAGTTAAACAAATAACAGATACTAAAGTTAATGAAATGTAAGATACTAAAGTTAAACAAATATCAGATACTAAAGTTAATCAAATAATATAAAAGCACCAGCTCCTGAGGTTGAGAAAATGTGTGACATTCTCAAACCAATCCTATTTAGATAATTAAATCTGGAATGTTATTCTACCTTAGTCTGTAGTCTGAAAACCCAACATGTTTGGACTACAGCAAGCATATATATTCCCTAAACAGCAAAGAAATAAATTTAAACCAGGTAACCAATCCTCTTTTGAGAATTAGTTTAGATTCGTAGCGGATGAAAAAATAGTCTTAAATAGAAAAACAAGACGACCAAGGCAGTTAAACAAGATTCTTTATGATAATTTGCTAAATCAAATTAGAACGAGTAGAAAAATTTGCTAAATGATGCTTCAAAAGAACGATATATAAATTCATTAACTTGTCTGTTAGTGGACTGTCCACTGTTAGTGGACAGTGTGTAATAGGACATGTAGAGCGCCATGTCACTAAATAGTCATAGTCCACAAACAAAAATTTGAGCAGGTCTACTTTTCAGAGGGGACCCCGCCTATTGCTAGCACCTTATTCCACCACGTCTACTATTACGTCTTCCACCATGTCTACCTCCACGTCAACCACTACGTTTACCAGCACGTCTACCACTACCTCAATCACAACGTCTACCAGCACGTCAACCACAACGTCTACCAGCACGTCGGCCACTACGTCAACCACAACGTCTATCAGCACTTCTACCACTACGTCAACCACAACGTCTACCACTACGTCAACCACAACGTCTACCACTACGTCAACCACAACGTCTACCAGCACGTCAACCCCAACGTCTACCACACGTCTACCACTACGTCAACCACAACGTCTAACAGCACATCTACCACAACGTCTACCAGCACGTCTACCAGCACGTCTACCACTACATCAACCACAACGTCAACCACAATGTCTACTAGCACGTCTACCAGCACCTCTACCACAACGTCTACCACAACATCTACCAGCACCAGGCATATAAATCCTCTCACTCCACTTTCCTCATCACATTTTTAATACTCACGTGCATATATATATATATATATATATATATATATATATATATATATATATATATATATATATATATATATATATATATATATATATATATATATATATATATATATATATACATCTCAAATGGATATGAAAACCAGCATTACCTCTTTGTTATGATTGAGGGCGTGGGTAAGCGGTCTTCTGTGGCGTCACACCATAACGATCACCACTGGCTTCTCTTATTTATGACTGGCTGGCATCGCGAGCCTATTATATGAGTCCACCGCACAATACCCGGTTGTTGTGGCCTTCTCCAGGTCCTTGTCAGCCTCCTGAGGGGGAGATCACTGGAGAGGAGTGTCTGGAGGAGCCTGTGTGAGCTCGACGCGAGAGAGAGAGAGAGAGAGAGATGGTGGCGGGGAGGCTGGGAGCCGCAGTGTTGCCACTCGGGAGGGCTGGTATAGTCTGATCTGTTGGCGGAGGTGGCGCCGCTGGTGTGTGTGTGTGTGTGTGTGTGTGTGTGTGTGTGTGTGTGTGTGTGTGTGTGTGTGTGTGTGTCGCTCTTTGAGTATGTGTTTGTTTGAGAGTGTTTAAGTTTATGTGTGTGTGTATGTCTTTCTGTGAGTGTTTGTATGTAATTACCAAAAGAAGTGGCCAGGCTGGAAATATTAGGTAGCGTCTTTGTGTTTGTATGTTTTGTGTGTGTGTGTGTGTGTGTGTGTGTGTGTGTGTGTGTGTGTGTGTGTGTGACCCAACCAAGTCCATCTTGGTTTGGTAAACCTTTTCGCCGTGACCCATAGACGTTACAATTTACTGAGAAGTCCAATCGCAAGTGCGTTTTTTAAACAAATATCTCTTCACGCAAGATAGCACATACCTATATATGCACAGCGGAAAGCAACGCAATTTCACTTCAAACTTATTGCTCAATGCAACGACGCTATTTATTATTTATTAATGCCTTCAAGGTGGTATGAGCACTTCAAATACATCCCAAATGTATACGTACGGTATGTTTTAAATATTTTGTAATTGGAAATTGTGAAATTGGAAGATAAGTATTCAGGAATTCTTTCTAAACTTTTGTTTATAAACTTGTATTATCATACATAACTTGAATAAGAGAGGAAGATGGAAACGTCGATAATCAGCACCTGAGCACTCATGGGACGCCATCACAGAAAACGTTATCGATCTCACTTGAGAAAATGGGAAACTTCTTTATATTTCCTCCCTCGCCCCAACAACGCTTCCTCTGTCATAAGGACGGGCGTCGATATCTTCTTCTAAAAGTTCTTCTAGGTTTGTATGGTTATGGATAGATAAAATCACTTGAAATTAAAAGTCTGTCATGTCGTTATAATGTATTGAGTTATTTATTCCTGCACTTCTTTGTTCAGTTTGCACAAATAGTGAATTTAAATTATAAAAAAATTAATTTCACGCATACGTTATCCGTCTGTTTTTAAAAAGTTTGTTGTTGCTCTTTTGACTTCAAGTATATTGACGTTTATTTCGTTAATCTAATAAAATCAAACTTAAATATTTTATTCCTAAATTGATGTATATTTATAGTTGAATTAATTTATACTCATATATAGTAAATTACTTACACATAAGAAAGCCAAAATAACTTAATTTGTATTAATTATAATATTCTACTAAATAATAAGTGAATGAAGCCTTACTACTAACTCCCTGGCTTGACTACACTAAACAGTAAGGTATTGCAGCCAAAAAGAGACCTTCACCTTCCACAATTCTGGTTTATGTTGGATTAAAGGCCTATCTGAAGGGTTATTAAACTCACCGCAATACCTTACTGACCATCCACCAAATATGGTGATGGCCTTGAGGTATATGTCAACTTCCGAATGGTTATTAAGCACATCACATTGGTTGACTAACAAAACAGTAAGTTTACATTGCTTTTGAACATAATACAAAACTAAAAAAGCTTTCGGTGTATATTCACACCGGCTGCACCTCTCGATGTAAATATACCTGTTTATCTGTTCACTTTAAGGCATATATAGTGCAGATTCGGATACTAGTCATAGAGTTCTTACGTTAGTATTAGCATGCAACCCGTCCTCGACTCAAGTCCATTACATCCAGCGGTCGACCCCACAGACGCATTCATAAATTTTAACATGCTGTTCATTCAAAACGGGAATTTTCTCAAGTATAAATAAATATTATAATATATTAGCATATTGTGCATATATAGGCATAGGTTAGGTTAGGTTAGGTGTTTAGGTTCTGTTGGCGATTATTTGTATTTGTAGTACGTGGGTGAAGCATTTATAGCTTTGTGATTCGAACAAAATTCGTCAGTGAAACACTTGTTCCGGATACGTTCGAACGTCAGCAGTTGTGAGTCGTGTGTAAACCGCTTTTCATTCATAAACAGGGGGTTTGGCGGGTGCATGGAATCACTTTTGGATCTTTGTTTGGAGGACGGGCTGTAGCATGTGGACTATTGAAGCTTCGTGTTCAACCCGTCCTCGACTCAAGTCAATTCAGCCCGTCCTCCAAACAAAGACCCAAAAGTGATTCCAGGCACCCGCCTAACCCACTCTTTATGAATGAAAAGCGATTTACACACGACTCACAACTGTTTCGTTCGAACATTTCTCGAACAAGTGCTTCACGGACGAATTTAGTTCGAACCACAACGCTGTAAATGCTTCACTCCGGATTATTTCTTTCATTATTCTTTCTTCTTTTTTTATGTTAACTGTGCATAGTTGATTTGCAATACAATTTTATTGAAGGTGATATAGTTTCTGTTCTAGGTTCAGGATTGTAAAATCGGTTCAGGTGTCTTCTTATAACAGTGTTTATTTCCGTGTTGCTATATCCATTGTTCACCAATACCTGAGTTATTCTTTCAAACTCTCTACTCACGTTGCTCCATTTTGAGCAGTGTGTAAGCGCTCGACGAATATAAGCATTGAGAACACTGGCTTTGTATCTTTGGGGGCACTCACTCTTACCGTTCAGGCATAATCCTATGCTCGTAGGTTTAGGATATACACTGGTGCTTAAAGAGGTTCCTGTTTTTGTTATTAGTACGTCTAAGAATGGCCGACTGTTATTTTCACTATTTTCATGTGTAAATCGAAGTACTGACTCTCTCTCTCTAGATGGCTTTTTAGATTATTTAGTTCATCTGGGTCTTTTACTATGACGAATATGTCATCTACATAACGGCAGTATACAGTTGGCTTTTGTCTACTACTACTGAATACTCTATCTGCGATGGTTCCCATGTAAAAATTAGCGAATAACACTCCAAAGGGGGAGCCCATTGCTACTCCGTCTATTTGTAAATACATGTCCCCGTGCGGACTGATGAAAGGAGCTTCCTTTGCACATGCCTCGAGAAGACTCTTCAAGTGTGTGACTCGGGTATGTCTAATTTGAGGGTATTCTCGTCTCTGTATACTCTGTCTAGTATCATTTCTATGGTTGTGTCAACTGGGACGTTGGTAAAGAGGGATTCGACGTCCAGGGAAGCAATGATTCCATCGGGCTTTGTAGTTTTGACAGAATATGCGGTCCTATTCAATGAGACATGTATACAAGGAAACCTGCTGCCAGTATTCACACACACACACACATATATATATATGTATATATATATATATATATATATATATAAAAGTATATATATATATATATATTTCTTGATATATAGTATATATATATATATATATATATATAAAACGGAGGAAAGGGTCCTGATATATATATATATATATAACTGAAAACCCACACCCCCAGAAGTGACTCGAACCCATACTGCCAGCAGCACTCTGCTGGCGTACAGGACACCTTAACCACTCGACCAACACGACCGGACATCAGGCGGCTTGAGGAGGTGATAGCCGAAAGTATTTGAACCACCCCTCCCCCACCGGCACTCGGTTGGTAATCTTGGGCAAGGCATTTTATTAAATCACCTCATTCTTTGGGGCACACGTGAGGAACACAAATGTGAACAAGCCTGAATGGTCCCCCCGGACAGGACGTGAGGGTTTTGAGATTTTTTTGGGTAGGATCATTGATACACATTTATCTCATAAATGATATATATATATATATATATATATATATATATATATATATATATATATATATATATATATATATATATATATGTGTGTGTATATCACGAAAATAAAATTGATTTGATTCCTTCTGAAATTGATTCCTTCTGAAGATGTATTTAATATACGAAAGTACTCAAGGAAATTTCCTGTTTCATTTTCCTCCGTGGTCTGACATTGTCATATATATATATATATATATATATATATATGTCGTACCTAGTAGCCAGAACGCACTTCTTAGCCTACTATGCAAGGCCCGATTTGCCTATTAAGCCAAGTTTTCCTGAATTAATATATTTTTTCACAAATTTTTTTCTTATGAAATGATAAAGCTACCCATTTCATTATGTATGAGGTTAATTTTGTTTTATTGTAGTTAAAATTAGCGTAGATATATGACCGAACCTAACCAACCCTACCTAACCTAACCTAACCTATCTTTATAGGTTAGGTTGGGTTAGGTACCCGAAAAAGGTAGGTTAGGTTAGGTAAGGTAGGTTAGGTAGTCGAAAAATCATTATTTCATGAAAACTTGGCTTATTAAGCAAATCGGGCCTTGAATAGTAGGCTGAAAAGTGCGTTCTGGCTACTAGGTACGACATATATATATATATATATATATATATATATATATATATATATATATATATATATATATATATATATATATATATATATATATATATATATATATATATATATATATATATATATATGTCGTACCTAGTAGCCAGAACGCACTTCTCGGCCTACTATGCAGTGCCCGATTTGCCTAATAGGCCGAGTGATTTTCTTTATTTTCAATAAATTGTTTCCTATTGGTTTATTTTAAATATTATTTGTATATTATATTAGGAACATAAATTATTGATTTAGGTACGTTAGTTTAGGTTAGGT